GGCGTACCTTTGTGAGCTGCGCGATGGTGTGAGGTGGGGAAGAAGGTGAGTATCATAAATGGCTGATTTTAAGGGTAAAAAAGTAACTTCCGCGACTTTAGGGCGAAAAACTGAAGGAAAAGCCGCACACGACGCGCGTGCTGTGCACTTCCGTCATCTTAGACGGTTTAGGGTATTGCGCGCATGCAAAACCTTAATAGAAGGGGGTCCGACGCAATTTTTATATTAAAGGGGGGAAAGACGCAGATTTAGTATAATACAGGGGGGTTTGGCGCATTAAACCCTATTTTAAAAAGAGATGATTAAAAAAACAATACAAATAATTGAAAAGATTTATTTGACAAATGCTAATTAATTTGTTAGTCAAAATAGAAAATAGAAAATAGAAAATAAATAAACCAATAAAAGGAATAACGAAGAAGAAATCGCGTCGAGCACGTTGCGACTTTAGTTGAAACTCATAAGATAAAATGCGGCTTTATCTTGGTATATTCTTGGCTTTACCAGGAGTTGAAGGAGCTCCAATGGCGGGCGTTGCTCTTGCCCTCGGCTCCACAGTGCCTCAACAGCTTCCTTTCCTTTTTCCGAAAAAATTAAATTCGTTAATCTCAGTTGAAACCCGACACACGGCTCTCAGACTTCATCGGACATCGCGGCGGCTTTCATTCTCAAGATACTGTTTTTGTTATAATTCATCACAGCGATCGTCACCCATTCAATTTTCATCAAGTGCTTCTCCAAATGGTTAGCCCTTTTCTCAGTATACAGAGATTGTGCATTTTGAGATTTTGTGGCAAAATATAAATAATTCCTAATGTATGGTAAATTGTACCTGATACATTCCTGGTTTATTATAAGTTATATATCGTGTATTCGTGAAGTATTTGGTGTGTTTCGTTTAGTTTATTATTGTTTTCCAAATGTCGATCTTTTGTTTAGATATGTTCAATGAGAAGGTACCATGTTTCATACTTCCTTTAAACTTAAAGCACATATTTTCTTCAATATTTGTACGGACATGCCATTAGATCAATGCAAAAGCTTTTATATTTGATCACTTTGATGGGAAATTTATGAAATGCTATTGAAGCATATCTTTGATTCTCCAATTAGTTTTTCGATGTGAATCTTCCAAAACTAGAAGAAAAGGATAAAACTCAAAACGCAATTTCTTTTCCTCATCACAATCTGTTTTTGGATATTCAAGATTGTACCTTTATATTCAGATGCTGATGGTTTCTACTAGTTCTTCTCATTTGTATGACTTCTCTGCATGCCACTACGGTTTTAATTAATTTACATTCCACTTTTTTAGTTAACATCGTTTTTTTTGTTTTTGGGTTTCCTTGATGCCTGTGAATTGCCAACTGAAGGCAGAAGAAAAGTTCTGTTTGCAACACCCGAGGTGGAAGTTAGTACTGATCAAAGTCAATGGGCAATGCAAGGTAACTCACATTGTGTGTGTGTGCGAGTGGGCGGGCTTTACTGTATTTGTCCTCGTGAACATATGTGATAGTGTATTAGTTCATAGGGTGTTTATGGTTCAGTCAATCTGCTGCAAGTAGTGAGTTGACAATTCATGTCCGACTACTTTGTAGTTTCCGTCATATGTTTTAAAGGTAATTGCCCAAACTACGCCTGCTATTTGGACTAATTGCGGAAAATTATCTTTCAAAAGTACTAATCCCGTCTTAAGTTTGTAGTCATGCAAAAAATATTCCCTTTTTTTCAGGTGCAATAAGAATATGTCTAAAGGGTGTTTGTCAATTTAGAAGATATTTTTATTTGCTTTTTTTTTTAAAGACTAAGCCCTTAGAGTCCTTTTTTTTTCTGTGATTTGCCATTTTTTTAAGAATAATGTTTCTTGAAAAAGGGAAGGGTTAATATGCTCTAGTTGTAGTGTTTAGTTTAATATGCATTTGGGTCAACCGAGAGGTTATGAATCGAATTACAAGTCCACTCCCAATGTCTTGATTTCGAGTGGCAATGCAGTGTTTAATCTCAATTGTCTATCCATTGTCTATCCAATTTCTCAATTAGAACTTACTAAGATGACTCTTCCGATTAAAAAAAAAAAAAACACGAGTCTTATTATCCGCATAAACTTGATTTAATCTCGTCTTCATGCAACCCAAGCCAAGATACTCATGCAAGATTATTTAGAAGCAGAAATTGTCTAGAAAGCTATCACATATCTGCACTGCATTAAGAATTTTGTATTCAAGCAAACAATAAAAAGGCAATAGCTGTGGTTATACTATTGGCAGATTTCTATAATTTAAGGAAAGAAGTTGAAGCCACCTCAGCGCGAGTCGAGGAGATAAGGGCTGCTGCTGGTCTGAAACTGCTAGAAAATAATATTGCGGATTTAGAGGAAGCTTCAGCCAATAGCTCTTTGTGGGACGATCGTGTCAAAGCTCAGCAGACACTTCAGGCTTTGACTGATGCCAAAGAAAAATTAAAAACTCTCAATGACTTTAAAGCACAGGTTTTCGTTTCCATCCTGTTAAAATTTCAATCATTTATAGATTAATCACAATATGGAGTTCTGGATCTTTCTTTTTCTGTATCAATTACAATTTTTATTTTAATTAATTCTATTAGGTTGCATATATATCGTAAAAATAACATGTTTTGAGGACTAAATTTTAAAATTTTACAGTTTGGCTTAAAAAATTGCCTATATGCAATAGGTTGAAGATGCAGAAACAATAGTGAAGCTTACAGAGGAGATGGACTCGATTGACGCTGGGCTCTTTCAAGAAGCTGCTGGCATCATTAAAGATTTGAAGAGGGCATTAGACCAATACGAATTGACGCAACTTCTCTCTGGACCTTACGATAAAGAAGGCGCGGTTATCAGCATTACAGCTGGCGCTGGGGGCACTGATGCCCAGGTAACACCTAATTGATTATAAAGAAGGGATTATGTAATTCAGAGGGTTTATTAGCCTGGCTAATATTAAGATACTCTGATTGTGTATTTTAATTTGAGTCACTCTCTTAAGGTGTTGCAAGTATATATTTCTTTAAATATTTTTGATAAATTCCAGTGCAGGATTGGGCTGAAATGCTTCTCAGGATGTATGTAAGATGGGGTGAGAAGCAGAGTTTGAAGACAAAAGTGACGGAAAAATCGATGGGTGAAGAGGCTGGGATCAAATCGGCTACTATTGAAATCGGGGGTCGATATGCGTACGGATATTTATCGGGTGAAAAAGGGACCCACCGTATTGTCCGACACTCCCCTTTCAATGCCAAAGGACTTCGCCAGGTATAATCCAATTTATCTCGATAAATACCAGACAAGGGGAGGCGGTGTGTTTTGTGATTTTCATAATAATTCTTCTTTTACATTTTTATTATCTCATTATTATTGGGTAGAGGATGTATAATTAGTTATCACTTAGTAACATTTAATAATGCAGACTAGTTTCTGTGGTGTTGAAGTCATGCCTCTTCTTCCGGATGATTCTTTGGATTTAGAGATACCCGAAGAAGACTTGGAAATAAGCTTCTCAAGGGCAGGTGGAAAAGGCGGACAAAATGTCAATAAAGTCGAGACTGCAGTTCGCATCACTCACATTCCCACTGGAGTCACATTACGGTGCACAGGTTAAAAACATTTATTATTATTGTCTTGTGTGTTTTCAAATTTATGTATGGTATGGATAAAAAAACTCGGTTGGTTGGTATTTCAGAAGAGAGAAGCCAGCTGGCGAACAAGATTAAAGCTTTGAGCAGGCTGAAAGCGAAGCTATTAGTGATAGCGGAGGAGCAAAGGGCATCAGAGATCAAGCAGATTAAAGGAGATGCTGTCAAGGCCGAGTGGGGCCAACAAATACGAAACTATGTATTCCATCCCTACAAATTAGTCAAAGATGTGAGGACGGGACATCAAACCTCCGATATTGCTTCTGTTATGGATGGCGACTTGGACTCCTTCATTAAAGCTTACCTCAACTACAAATACAGCCTCTCCATTGATAATTCCAACTGTTAATTTCTATTGGATAATAATTCATACACCAACGCAATCTGCTAGGATTATTGCAAAAAATAATAGGTCATTATCTTGTCAAGTTAAAAACCAATTGAAGTTTGCAATAAAGTTGCTGTCTCTTAATGCAATAAATTAGCAGTTATACAACAACAACAACATACCCAGTATATTCTCAACAGGTTGAGGTCTGGGGGTCAGTTGTACACAGACCTTACCCTTGTAATTAGGGGTGTTCATCGGTCGGTTCGGTCGACCGACCGAACCGAAGTACCAAAACCGAACTAACCGAATTGCTCTATGTCAAAAACCGAACCGACCGACCGATGTGCTTAAAACCGAAGTGTAACCGAACCGAATTATTTGGTCGGTTCGGTCGGTTAACTGAACTCTTACAAAAAAATCTTTTTTTTCAGATGAGGAAGATACATACATGATTAACAGAATAATTCATTCCAAGAGTTTCAGTAGAAAGAAAGGGAAAGGAATAAAAATAAACATCTCACAATTCACAAACATACATGATTTTTCCTACAAATCTGCAATTAGAAAAAAAAAATTAATACTTGTATCTTCAAAATAAAGCTAAGATTTTGGGAAGAGGAGAAAAAATCAGGGAGACTTTTGCAGCTTCGCACTTGACGGTGAACAAGTACAACCATGATAACGAGCTCCTTGATCGGACCGAACTACACGCAGACGTGAGGGGATGGATTTTTGCGGAGCGGACGATTTGGGGGATGGTTTGGATTGGGGGCGATTTAGGGCGGGATTGCGGAGGAGCAGCATCGGAGGAGTAGCGGCGGAGGAGCGGAAGCGGAGGAGCGGCGGCGGAGAAGCGGCAGCGGATGATTTGGGGCGGCGGCGGATGATTTGGGGAAAAGTCCTGTTTCTGAAATGTGAAGTTTAGGAGATAGGATTAATGTACAGTGTTGACTTATTGTATATATGTAATATTGAATATTATATTATATTATATATTTTTTTTTATTCGGTCGGTTCGGTTTTTTCGGACATTTTATGTCCGAAACCGACACCGACCGAAAAAACCGAAATTTTATAAATTGAAAACCGACTACCGACCGAGTCGAACAAAAACCGAACCGAAATGGTCGGTTCGGTCGGTTTCGGTCGGTTCGGTCGATTTCAGTCAAAATTTGCACACCCCTACTTGTAATTATACAAGGAGGCTGTTTTCGTAGCGACCTAAGGTGCATTGCGCCGTTTGATATATTTTTTTTTTCTAGAAACTTCACTAATAGAAGAAGCACTAGAATTTAATTGAGTCATTTTGATCTAGTTCATTATTAGCACTATGTCAGAAAAATTGTCAACAATGACTCTTCCAGTTCTATTTAATGGACAAAATAAATCACAATATAAAGCTAGTTGAGGTCATAAATTTGAATGTTCAAGCTCTACTGTAACACAATACTAAAAAAATCAAAAAATCAGGTATGGTGATAAAACTTTTCCGTATTCATATGCAGAGAGGAGTTATATCTCAAACAAAATTAAGACAGGTTTGTAAATTAATCTCAACTTTTGATTCATTTGTAATTTAATTAAATCTCAACGTTTCAATTTTGACGATAAAAAGCATGGACTTTGGAGTTTTGCAAATCGAAGATCATAATCATTAATCAACAACCGACTGCAGATGCTCATGTAAAGAGGTGAAAAAAAACATACGTGCCACAAATGAGAAAAGTAAAAATAAAAATAGGGTTGCAGATGATGTTCATATTTTACACATTATAACTTCGGAACTCAATTACTTGTGAATGATGAATATGCTTACATTTACTATATTTTAAGATGCATGATCGAGTTGAAACTTATGAATTATGAATGTAGAATTCTTCAAAATTTTCTTGAATTTTTACGATCCTTCAAACTTTCTCAAATATTATAAATCGGTTTTTCAATAACTCAAAAATTTTTATAAGGGGTTGTTTTTTCTCTCTTTACATCAAATAATGAACAAACACTTAACGTAAGCCTCCGTTATTTNTTTTACGAAACAGTAGAACGTAAGCCTCCGTTGACAATGTGATTTGACTTGCAAAAATCGAAAGCTTGTGCCTTTTATGTCAAATTTAAACCTTGGAATTCAATTAAAAACAAAGATTTAAATTTAATATGTAATTTAATCTATTTTGTTTCAAATACACAAATTTATTAATACACAAATTCTAATGAGGCAACTAAGTTCGTTGTTTCATATTTTTCTTTCTAGAAAAATATATTTATACTAAATAACATAAATTTTGTTTATTCATTTTTAATCATGTCAATTGAGTTTAAAAAATATATAACTATCTAAATAACTTCAATTTTTTAAACAATAATTTTATTGTTTATCCAAATAGTCTAAATAGCATTACTCTTTTATTTATATCTAAATTGTTGGACAGTTGACTAGGCTACTTTATTCAACCGTCAGCAAAACCAGCCATCGTTCTTTTAGACAACAATGCTTTGGGTTCAAGCATAAAAATTGGATGTCACCTAAGAAATAAACATAGTCTAAAAAAATATATTCGCAAACAAAATTAGACTGAGTCTTGCTGATGTGGCAGCCAGAAAAAGAGACCCGGTCTACCCTTAGGTCTATAGTCTCTTTGCATTGGAGTGGATTTTATCAATTTTACATAATTTTATCCATGTCATTCTCTACCTAGTCTTTGCATTGGAGTGGATTTTATCAATTTACATAGTTTTATCCATGTCATTCAAGACTTGGGGGTTTAGAGCATCCACAATGCTTTGGGTCTCTTAACAAAAAATCATATGTCATGTAGGAAATAGACCTAGTTTATAAAAAAAAAAAGTCTTCCAATGCAATTAAAAGTGGACATGGTCTAGCTTATGTGGCAATAAAAAAATGAGACCAAGTCCACACTTGGGTCTATTTTGGACCCAAGTACAAACCCAAATACTCATCATTTATTTATAGTTTAATTATTCTTTTAATAAATGAAACATATTAGAACATTTTTATTGGTTGGCATGTATGATAGACCTAGTATTTTAGTTTTTGCATTGAATAACTTTTGAATTTTTTTATTTGGATTTTGTCACTTAAGTCCATTTATATCTCATGTGTAAAATGAGCATGGCGATGTTCCTAATCGATGAAATAATTTTCGTGCCCCAAAATATAGAAAATGGCTCTACACAACCTGAGCATGGCGATGTTCCTAATCGTCGCATTAACCCTAGCCACCGCCGAAGAGAACTCCCAATCCCCGCCGGTGGCCGCGTTTTACGACGTCCTCTCCTCCAACGGTCTCCCAATCGGCCTCTTCCCAAACGGCATCTCCAATTTCTCCGTCGACCCCGCCTCCGGCAGTTTCCGGATCCATCTGCAGCGCCCTTCCCCGTGCGCCGCCAATTTCGAGACGCGCTTGAGGTACGAAACTGACATCTCTGGCAGCGTGCGCTACGGGAGAATTGATGATCTGTCGGGGGTTTCCGCGGAGGAGCTTTTCTTATGGCTGCCCGTGAAGGGCGTCGAGGTGGATGTGCCGAGCTCTGGGTTGATTTATTTAGACGAAGGGGTCGTCTCCAAGCAGTTGTCCCTGTCGTTATTTGAGACGCCTAAGGATTGTAACGCCGTGGATGGTGGGGTAGGAAATGACGACGTCGTTCGGTTGCGGAATTTTGAGGTTGGTAATCCAGTATTGGTTTAAAGTCTTCATATCAACTTTATGTGGTTGATTAGTTAAATAATTAATCAATTTCGATGGTTTGTATGATTGTCGTTTGGGTTTGTGCCTCAATTGGTGGGTAGATTATGATACATCTGCACGAGGAATTATGCATCTGAGTTTTGTTTTGGTTCTTCATGTAGGTGTTCTCTGTCTGATAAACAGGCATGATTAACCTTTAAACGAAAGATTATCTCAGTCAAATTTGGTTGATTTGGTAGTTTTTGGACAGAGGAGACACTGTTTTCCAATTTCGTTACATTTTTATGGTTTGAATGTTGACCGATATTTGGCATTGTTTATGTAGCCTAGTTTTCATGTTTGTGTGTTCGTGTGCACGTGTATTGATGATATGTTTATCTTACAGCTTTAATATAACTATGGCTTGTAGAGACAATATTTGGCTAACGCTAGGAATACAGTTATAGGTTTAAATAACAAAAGGTTGAAATTATTTTGGGATTTTATATTCATATAGCAGTACTTACAAGTCTCTATGCATAACATTGCTCACACAGAATTCTGAATTATTTCCTGTTTGCTTGTTGTGAACCATCATGCATAGGTTGATGGTTGCCCTTAACAGCTTAGCTGCAATGTTCTATCACTATCTTGTTACATTACAAGAGTGCTGCACCTAGAATTGAACTGAAAAGATTGTATTGTTGCAAAACCAATGACCTATAGTGATTACCTGGTGTATGGTGTATAAGACTGATAGACATAATGGGATTTGATCTAGATCATTGGCATTTAATAGTTAGATCCATAAAAGGAAGAAGACAACAATTCCCTTCGCAAGAAAACCCGAGATTGTAACTTTAGTGACAAGCACATCTTATACTATTGAATTCATCTGAATAAGAGATATAGTCATCACTAAAGCTATGTTTGGTAAAAGTGATAAGCTAGCTTATAGCTCATAAGTAATTTCGAGCTTATAGCTTATGACTTATAACTAAAAGCTAGTTTATATGAAAGTGTTTGGTAAAATTAGCTGATAAGCTTTGACTATGTACAGGTTGGAGATCCTGCCTTAATCCCCCATCCGAATCCTTCGGGGTGTTTCTTTAAAAGAAAAAAAAAAAAATAGCTGATAAACTAGCTGAAATAAAATTTCAACGAGCTTATTTGAAAAGTTACTCAAGAAAGCTTATGAGATAAAGCTCGAGCTTTTCGTAAAAACTCGTCCTACCAAACCAAGTTTATTAGAATACAGGAAGCTTATAAGCTAATCAAATAAGCTATAAGCGCTTATTTGGTTATCAAACATAGCCTAAGACTCGAACCACATTTTTTTTTTGTTCTCTTTCTGTGTGCGTTTGTGTCTTCTCTCTCTGCAAGAATCAGTTACCCTCCTTTCCTGGTCTTAATTTTTCCCTGTAATTACATCATTGCAGAATCATTTGAGAGAGTTCCCAACAAAGCATGTACCGGACCAAGAACATGTGGCAGTCTAATGAATCAGCACCATACAATTTTATCCTATGGCTTGAGGATTTCTGAGGATACTATAGTATATACACACCACTATATACACCGATTGCTTATGTTTCACTACAAGACTCTTCATCCAAGTAATGAGGCAAAGATTGCTATTTCCTTGAGGCAAAATTATGTGGGTGTATGTAGAATGGGAGTTTGTGTTGGCTATAGTTGTATATTTGTTACCTATATAATTGTGTTTTTGCATCCTTTTGGTTTGTGTAATGGGGATGTCTTGGAGTTCTGTACATGAAATTTTACTGTACTCAAGATAATTGGTTGTATCCTTTTTTGGCGTAATTTTCATGATTATCAAATCAAACTTTGTTGTCGTTGTCAGTAGTGGTAACATTTCATTATTATTATTATTATTATTATTATTATTATTATTATTATTATTATTATTATTATTATTATTATT